ATGGAATAGCCGATGTCCGATATTTAACTTTATTGCTAATATTGGCCAATACCGATACCATGCCGATAATATTGTGCATCCCTAATTGCATCACATTCTATTTTATCATGTTATGATGTATATTATATTATTTTGCATCCCTCCTGAGTTTTCTTTTCAGGTAATTTCGGACTTAAATAATTTATTATTAGAAAAAGGAAAACATAACGCAAAATAAACAAATAAACAAACAAATCCATAAACAAATAAAGCAATGGTCTTCCTTAATTTATCATATATTGTTATGTTTTTTTTCTTTCAATCAGTACATGTGATGAGCCTCCCATTAATAAAATGAGTCAATTTTTTTTGTACACATAAAAAGATAAAACATATGATTCTAGTATAGAAGATTTCCCAATTTTTTAAAACTAAAAATACAGAAATTTGCGCATGGTTTAATGCCATATATCTTATTATGTCTTTCAGTTCATTCTCATAAATGGTTTGTCCATGACAAGCACTGGTATTAAAAATGCATCACTCTCCAGCTGCTGTCAGTTTCTTCTAAAATGAAACATCTATATCATTTATTTGGATATGTGGAATATGTCTCTGATGGTTCATTCTCAGGACCACCTGGAAAAAATCAGATATTTAACCTGGCTGAATCTCTGTTTTGTCCTGCAGCAAGAAGAAGCTGAACGTTGAATAATGGCAAGCTTATTCTCTGGCTGCACTCACACCACATCCTATCCTACATGTTGGCTACTGAATAATTCAACTGTTTGTACCTGTGAGGCATGCAGACCCTGTTAAGGGCTGCCCCAGTATGATCTATAATTAAATATAATGCAACATGAAAGTGCATAAGTCATGAGTTGAGGGTTTGGAGGAGTCACTCAGACTTCCTTCTAGTTTTTCATTTTGTGTAGGTTCTGTAGTCTTTATTTGACAAACTTCTTTAGCTATATGCCAACAATAATGTTTTCTTATCATTTTTACTTTTCTCTCTAATACTGAATTATCCTCAACAATTGACATTGGAGTGTAATAAGATCATGTGATGTTTGATTATGCTTGTACCTCCTCACACACAGTATACACAGTATCAACCCTAATGGTCCTTTGCCTGTTTTATTGTTGATTTTGATTCCTCTAGCACCTCAATCATGGATCATTTCAATGTACGCACTCCAAAAAAAATATTGCTGTGCAATTAGAAATTAGAGTGTAACAAAACCCTTTTGCAGGCTCTCAAAATTGACCATTAGGAATTTATAAACCTCAGCAAGCAGCCAATCTCAGCAAGTGGCCATTCTCCCCAATGTTGACCCAAACAGTTAGCTATAAACGGACATAAGTTTAAATGTTGCAGAAAGTGAAAGGAAACAACTGATGTCAAGTCAATGTATAAAGTTTGTCCAAAATTGTCTTTCTTCGAAATAATGCCAAGAATATCTAACAGTAATAGACATTTAACAGAAATGAAAATCTCTAAACTATGCCTCATCCCCCCCCCCCCCACACACACACACACACACACACACAACCAATGGATCCTTGCATCTGTCCAAATGTAAACGGTAATATCTGCACCTTGCAGGCGGCTGCAGGGAGGAAAGGCTTAAGCGGCTTGCTCACTTTCTTCCTTCACTGACTGTGAAGTGGAGTCTGAGGTGTCAGGAGTTTTTTTTTTTTCTTTCTATCTCCCTCTCTCTCTTTTTCTCTCCCTGTTTTTTCACACCAAGTATGTTGCTGTAGTGATTGAGTTTGTGCTTTACAGGGAACACTGCAAGCTTGTAAAAAAAAAAGCTGAAAGCAGATACATTCTGGCATGAGGTGCCACAACACGATCAGGGAGACAGTCAAACACAAATCTCATTCACTATGGTTTTTGGACCTACATGTGGCAAATGATACATAGGTGATAGCATAAGGTGGATGTTAAATAGGGTGGCAAAGTTATTAGCATACAAATCATAATGAAAGGACATAAAACATCCATCCATCCATTATCTGTACCAGCTTCTTCCTTTTTGGGTCATGGGAGTCACTAGTGTTCATGTCCAGCCATCACTGTGTGAGAGACGGGGTACACTCTGGACATGTGTACATCACAGGGACACATAGAGACAAATGAGACAAACAACCATTCACTCTCTCACTCACACCTAGGGACAATTTAGTTACCATTTAGTCTAACATGCATGTTTTTGGTGTGTGGGAAGAAACAGGAGTACCCAGAGAAAACCCACGCATGCACAGAGAGAACATGCAAGCTCCAACCAGAAAGGCGCTCAGACCAGGATGTGAACTGCGGTAACCTGCTCGCTGAGGGACAGCAGCTCTACCAACTGCACCACCGTGCTGCCCAACATAAAACATGTAAAAAGCAAATCCTTAACCATGTGTGCTTTGCTTCTAGATACATTAAATGGACTCTTTCGTTATTGTTGTGTCAAAAAAAAATGTATATTTTGTTTATTTATACTGTATATATATTACCCAACCAAAGGCAATGGTGTTTATTCTCTCTAGTGGGTATTCTAAGGATGCCCCCAATATCATTGCTTTCATAAAGACCAAGGAATGACTCTGGTTTGCTGACACACTGAATACCAAGACAACAATGCCTCCTCTTCGTTCTACATAGGACCCCCCCAACATCACCAGCTCTACTATCACACAAACACACACACACTGATCTCACCACCCTCCCCACCCAAAAACCCTGTCGACACCCTGCTCCCCTCCAAAAATACAAGTTGCTGCTGGTTGCTATGGCGACAACAGGAGTCCATAAATCCATCCACCGAAGGACTCTTCATTCCCTTAAAATGATCAGATTTCTTTTTTCATCTTTTTTTCATTTTTTGGCAAGCAAAAGCTAGAAGGGGGTGAGCCACAGCACATAGGGTGAAGGATTTGGATAAAGAAGGTTGAGGGGATGAAAGAAGCCCATCCTTTCCCTCCTCTATGTGTCCTGCTGAAGCAGATGGTGCCGTGTGGCTCCGCCATGCCTCTGCGGTCGCCTTGTGAGTGCTGCTGCCATAAGGAGGCAGGTTAGTAGGAGATTTGGGGTGACAGTGTTTGGCAGGGGCTACAAAGTGAAGATGTAGGAAGGCAGAAAGCGCTTGGTGCCTTGGGCTGACACCAAGGTAAGCTGCTGTTATGTTCCTGTCTCTGTGATTTAGTGCCCAAGAGGTGCAGAAATGGAAAGCCAGGGTAGCTTTTAGGTTTAGGATTTAATCATGTCAGACCACATTATGGTGCATTTTAGTTTGGTATGTAAAATTCTACTGTTCTGCCATTCACAGATCAAAGGCAGATGGTACATTTAAAAAGTAAGTACAACAATTAGTTCACAGAATACCCCAGCACTTTGCAAGGTGACAGCTTGAAACAGTTTGTCCGTCAACTTCAGAAGACAGAAAGTTTGGTTAAAGAATACAAATGCTTAATTTTTCAAAACACCGGTAATGTATTTATTCTATGCTGACATGAATTGTGAAGTCTGTCTTGTAATTTTATCAGATCTGTTTTATACTTGTGATAAGGAAGTAGACATTTTCTTTTGTAAATGTAGTCCTACAGCTCTACCCTTTCTCATTTTTATTGTAAACTAAAGATGGATTTTTGAGTACAGTGAAGTTGATGCTTCCAAGCTTGCAATTACTGCATTAAAATAAATAAATAAATAAGATTAAAATGAAAAGTAAAACAAATGAAAAATCAATATATAAACTTGTTGTTTAAATTGTCTAATTGTTCTGAAATATTTTGAAATCCAGTGTTATAAAATAGACATCCCAGTTACTACAGCATGCTCATTACTGAATTTGTTGTGATAAAATACTTACATGTTTGTGATCTGCTATTGAACTAGAACCAGGTATTGGTTTTATATATGTAATTTGTTGTGGAACTGTGGGCTGAAAGGCCGTATATTCCTGAATAAAATATTCTTGACTTGATAGAATTTGCTGGGCACAGTATGTCCCAGGACAAAATAAAAGTGTATTATTAAACATAAACAATATGAGAAATAATAAGAGCAAAAGGAACTGTGAGAGCAACAGGAATGCCATTATTGGTAAATGTGCCAAACAAGGGGTACAATATTCATGTAATGAATCCATCCGTCCATCCATTAGCTTTGGTTGTTTCGAAGTCAGGGTACAGGGGCAGCAGCTTGAGCAGGGAGGCCCAGACATCTGTTTCCACAGCCACCTCTTCCAGCTCTTCTGGGAGGATTCCAAGGCGTTCCTAGGCCAACCAAGAGATGTAGTCTCTCCAGCATACCCTGGGTCTTCCCCGGGGTCTCCTTCCAGTCAGACATGCCCAAAGCACCTCCCTAGGGCGACACCCAGGGAGCATCCGAGCATCTTCCTAGGTAGAAGCCCAGGGAGCATCCTTACCTGATGCCCAAACCACCTCAACTGGCTCCTCCTTATGTGGAAGAGCAATGGTTTTTCTTAGAGTCTCTCCAAGATAACTGAATTTCTCACAAATCTCTAAGGAAGAGTTCAGCTACCCTGCAGATGAATGTCATTTCAACTGCCTTTATCCGTGATCTTGTTCATTCGGTCACTACTTAGAGTCTGTGGCCATAGTTGAGGGTAGGAATGTAGACCAGTGAACGGATAGCTTTGCCTTACAGCTCAGTGTAAGGCTGGTATCCCTCTGTCTGTCTCCCTGTGTCTATTATCCCTAGTGTCTCTTCCTAATTTCCCTCATCAATTCCACCCGTGTGTCCTCCAGGTGTTTATAATTATGTCTCATCTAGTCTGTGTATATAAGGCCTGGTCTGTGTCTCAATCCTTGTTGGTTCATCATCTGGTATCTTCCTGTGTTCCCCGAGATTTCCATGTCCTGATCTTGTAAGTTTATGCTGCCACTTCAGCCTGTTTATTTATCATTATTATTATTAAAGTATTTTTTATTTTTACATCCTGCCTTCAAGTCCTGCCTGCAATAATGTTTTTTTTTTTTTCCTGCTCTGCCTGCCTGAAACTCCTGGCACTCAGCTCCCTTTTCACCACAAGGAACTAACACAGAGTCCACAATACTGAAGATGCTGCACCAATATGTCTGTCAATCTCATGCTCCATTATTCCCTCACTTGTGAACAAAACCCAGAGATACTTGAACTCCTCCACTTGAGGCAGAACCTCCCCATCAACCTGAAGAGATTAATCCACTCTTTTCTGACAGAAGACCATGTCCTCAGATTTGGAGGTGCTGATTCTCATCCCTGCCGCTTCACACTCTGCTGCGAATAGCTCCAGTGAGAGCTGACAATCACGACACGATGACACCAACAAGACCACATCATCTGCAAATTGTAGAGATGGATTCCTGAGGCCACCAGATCAGACTCCCTCCGCCCTCTGGCTGCACCGAGACATTCTATCCATAAAAGTTATGAACAGAATTGGTGTTAATGCGCAGCCCTGGTGGAGTCCAACTCCCACCCTGAAGGGTTAATTTATGTAACCTTTATTTATACAGGCTAGCCTCATTGAGCCATGGGGACTCGTTTACAAGAGGGACCTGTTCAGGTCCGACTTACTGCTGGCAATGCAAACCAAACTTTTGGACCACTTGTATAGGGACCAGACTGTAGCAATGGGCTCCTAATCCCAATTTTGCAGAACACCCCCAGACAGTGTAATGAGTAACACAGTCAAACACCTTCTCCAAGTCCACAAAGCACATGTAGAGTGGATGGGCAAACTCCCATGACACCTTGTGGACACTAGTGAGGGTAAAGAGCTGGTTCAGTGTTCCACGGCCAGGATGGAACTCACATTGTTCCTCCTGGATCTGAGGTTTGACCAACGATCAGACTCGCTTCTACTGTACCTCTGAATAGACCTTACCAGGGAGGCTAAGGAGAGTGATGCCTCTATAAATGGAGCACACCCTCTGGTCCCCCTTTAACCACCACCCCAGTCTGTCAACCCATTGGCACTGCCCCCAATGTCTATGCAACATTGTAAAGGCATGTCAACCAAGATAGACCCACAACATTCAGAGCCTTAAGGGAAATCAGGGCAGATCTCATTTGCCCCCGGTGCCCTGCCACTGCAAACCTTTTAACTACCTCGGTGACCTCAGCCACAATTATGGACAAAGCAACCCCTAAGTCCCCTGACTCAGCTTCCTCCATGGAAGATGTGGGATTGAGAAGGTCCAATAAGTATTCCTTCCACCTCCTGACAAAATCATTGATTGAGGTCAATAGCACTCCACCTTCACTGAACAGTCTGTAAAGCACTGCTTTCCCCTTTTCAGCTGCATGATGGTTTGCCAGAATCTCCTCAGAGCCGACGAGAGTCTCTATCCAATGCCTCACCAAACTCCTCCCACATCCAAGCTTTTGCCTCAGCAACAGCCAGAGCTGTGGACTGCTTGATCCTCTGGTACTCCTCAGCTACCTCGGTAGTCCTACCAGCCATCAAGGACTCCTTCAGTAGGACTCCTTCTTAAGCTTGACAGCTTCCCTAACCTGGGATGCCCACCATAGAGGTTGTGGATGGCCACCGGGAGAAGCACCAACAACCTTACAGCCACAGCTCAACACAGCCACCTCAATAACTGCAGCATGGAACATGGCCCACTTGGACTCAATGTCCCCCACCTTAGCTGGGATGCAGTTAAAGCTCTCCCGGATGTGTGAGTTGAAGACCTTTCTGATGGGTTCTTCTGCCAGGCATTTCCAGAAAATCCTCACTACACAACACTGGACTGTACTGTAATTAATGTAATTTTTAAAATACCACATTTTTAATGTTTTCTACAATTTAATTTACCCTACTGAATATCCAATGGCTAAATAAAATGAAATAAAAATAAAATAAAAATTAAGGAAAGACTGTAAGCATTGAATTAAAATTATTGGCCAAAAATATGATTGTTACAAGGGTGAAACCAAGTCTATCTTGGATATTTTGTGGGGGAAGTAAAAACACAAAGCAGAGCTATTTGCAATCAGTGCATCAACAATGTTCAACAAAAAGGTTCACAATCATTTTACCAACATTGAAACATGGTGAAGGTTACATCGTCCTTTACTACATTTACTATTTCTTTTTATACTTTATATTTAGCTATTTTGGGGAGTAACTGGGACCCTGAGTACAACATTTTGTTCCACCTCATGTACCACATGTGATGGAAATGACAATAAAGTTGACTTGAACTTGATCATCTTTTGGGCTTCTTGTCTGCCTCTAGAAGTGGAGGTACTAAATGTATTAAGCAAATGATTAATTTAGCACTTAAACTAGGCTTATTAAAGCTAATTGTGTCAAACTTTGGAAAAATTGGTTTGAATCAAAGAAAATAAATGTTTTTTTTTTACCAAACAATGACCCAAAGCACCCAACAGCATTAAAATGGGCTAAAATCAAAAGACAGAGTTATAATTCTTTATATATTGTGCTTAAAAGTGAATACTTTTAATGTTTCTAAGAAAAGTACTGTCCATCCACTCTTACATGTTAACTATAATAGAAAGTATAAGAGGCTCAGTAGGAGCGCAATGTTCTGGTCTGGTCCTGGTGAGATGAAGTGGAAGTATTTGAGAAGGAACACATTTGGGATTGGACAGGGGATAAGTGTTGGTTTTAGAAGGTCATCTGCCTGAATACTCCTGCACACATCCTGACATGCTGTATCTGCGTCTGTCACATGCAAATAGTTATGCACACATTAGGCTTCCACTTGAATGAAACCCATCTGCAGCCTATGCCTTGACCACAAATGCTAACAGTGTAATCACTAGAAAAACATGAAACACACAACTGTGTCCTTTAATCCACAGTGTTCACGCATGCACACTCACACACACACACACAGACTCCCAAGCACACTTTATGCACTGTATGCACCAATGCACTCTAACACACACAGCAATATTCACACAGACCTAACCTCCTCAGTCCACGGCATGGAAGAATGGAGCCAGTGTGTGTGAGTCGGTTAGCAGACAAGGACAGGGCACAGCGTTTTTCAGGGGTGTGTGTGCGTGCGTGTGTGTGTGTGTGTGTGTGTGTGTGTCAGGGGGCGCAGCAAGCTTGAAAATGTGGGTAGAATTTTGGGATGGGCCCTAGCCAGAACATTTGAAATACATTTAAATAAATAGACGAATACA